ATCCTCCCCTCGTTCTCCTCTGCTGGCCGGCTACCACAGCATCACCTTGTGGAATGACCGAAAGTGTGCTTAGTAGGTTTATTATATAGCCGTTCTGGGTTATCACAATCATGCTTGTGCAAAACATTGATAGCGAATCCTGCGAGCTACCCAGATTTGTTAGCGGTTTGTTTATTCCATGAGCTTCCTTCTCACTCACTTCATTTTGCGGACGGACACACACATACATACATACATACACACACATACAGATACACAAACCGACACACAAAGTTAGCGCTTTATAAAATAGAAGGATATCGCTAAACATCCACAAAACATTTTTTCGGGACTTTAGCGGTTGAACGGTATTTTATGTTGATGACAACAACGCAATGAGATGATACTGAAGTGAAATGCGTTATCTAGAACACGGTTTTGAGCGATCTATATGTTCCGAATATCGTGATTATCGCCCTTCGGCCCTTATCACTTCCTGTACCCCACCAAACATGTTCCCGTCCCACCCTGTACATCACTTCTTGGAACCAACGCCCCACTGCTGCTGGGACGCGCGCTATGAATTTCGTGAAATTTGCGTTTCAGCGCCTCTTATCAGATCTTATCAGTCGGTATCACTTTATAAACCCCACCAAATATGTTGCCGTCCCACCCCCTACACCATACTCAAAATACAGCGTTCCATGCCTGCAGCGAAGCGCGCTATGAATTTCGTGACAGACGGACGTACGTACAGACAGAGACACACACACAGACAGACATACTTAGCGAATTATATATAGTAAGGATATTGATCATTGCTTTTGCCCATGTGACCGTTGAGGGTCTCCATAATGTAAAGATTTTCATTGACTGTCACATCAGCGAGTTGTTCCCAGGACATTTATTTCACGCTGTTGGGCAAGATTTGCCTGTGGGCGTATGCGCAGATGATATGTGTCGCTCTTGTGCCGAAGATCATGGTAATGTACATGATGCGATCAGAAATTCCTCTGCACATCCTTTGACAGTGTGTTCCAGTTTTTGTGACACTGCGATGGCGACACCGTTGGTCTTGGATTGTTGACCGTTGTAGTATATATTGTAGCCACCAATCCTTTTAGTCTTAGCGCCTGTCCACTTAATTTCTTGTAGTGCACAAATATCAGTTAATTTTTCTTGAGCATTTCTGTTAATTCAGCAGAGCGGCCGGTCAGGGTACCGATGTTGAGCGTGGCAATCCTGACGATCTTGTGTTTGTCCTTTACGGAGGACTTCCTAGCATGTGTGTCCATTACGGTGGACGTCCTAGCATGACCCATTACGGTGGGTAACCTAGCATTGATCGGGATGCTTGAAAAATCCATTGATCATCATTGTGCAGAATTTGAGGAAATCTCTTGAGTGGAGTTCAGCTTCTACTACCCGCGAGAGATACCGTACGCGTTAGCCAGGAGGCTGTTGCCATACCCACGCCACGTTGAGGCCACTAGAGATGGTCAGGCATATTGGCCGGTAATTGTCAGTCAGTTTTAGCCCCTTTTTTCATAAATAGGGCGAACTATCGCAATTTTCCATACCGATGGTACCTTCTCATGCAAGATAGAAAAGTATCGTC